ATGTTTAACATCATCATTTGATGATTGAATTTTTTGTTTGAAAAGTTAGCCGAAAGAATGTTCCATCAAGTTTGAAACAATATCATTTTACTGTAATACTGATAGTATTTGTTAATTATTTGAAATGTTTATGATTTTTAATTGTGTAAAAAATATATTCTAAAGAATGATCTTCTTGTTTAATTCAAACTCGTGTAAGTCGACCAGCACATAATGGATGAAGAAAATTTATGCTTCCGGAGATGAGCGTAACTTTTAACTATTTTCTTCTATGTGACTGAACAGACTAATTAATAATTTCAGCTATTTATGTATCATTACCAATAAAGGCACATCATCAAGATGAAAACATGTTTTTTGCTATATAAATCTTGAGAATATGCTCTCTAACTTACAATTAATGGTTAATAGTACGAATTGTTAGTTGCCAATCAGCGTCAACGAAGTCAATGACCAGAGGTGCCAATGAATACTCCTATCAGTTAGTGGAGAGTCTTGTTATAAATGTTATATTGGTTAACTTTTATGCATATAGAGCAGAATCAAGAAATAGACGTGTAACTGACAGATAGTCCTACAAAATTTAATTTGGACTAAAAATTAGGATCGTCACGGCTATGCTTACTGCAAAAAAAATGGAAACCTCACTTAAAGATGTGATTGATATGAAGCATTTAATTGTATACAAAAATTATTAAGGGATTATATATATTCGATTGATTTTTTTCTTTTCATGTAATTCGATTGATCTGTTCTCCAACTTGTACCCTTACGTCCTCTCAATGATCTACTTTGGCCCAACATGACAAATCTCAATCACTCATCCCACAGGGCCTTGGGGTCGATTGATACCAGGGATAAAGATAATTTGATATGCTCTCCGTTTCGAATTATTTGAATCTATTTCCTTTTTAGTCCGTGTCAAATAGAATGCCATCTTTCCTTATTTGGAAACAATTTAGTTTTACGTAATGATTTATAACCACATAAAATATATGTGCCTCATTTTACACCACAAATTTAAAAGTCTTCTTTCTTTTCTTAAACTCCGTGTCCAGTCAAATGAGTTTATATAAATTAAAATAGAGGGAGTATTATATTTAGTTATAGGTATTGGCTAATTTTAAGATAAATTTTACACTAAAATAGTGAGATTAGCCGTCCCATCCCTGGGATATCTTTGTTTATCATATCGTGGTACCAAACTCAATGTTTAACATGCATGTCGTACCTTAAATAATTCATTTGTTGAGTTTGTTAACTCCCTCTCTTTTAATTTAAATGACACATTTTACTTATTAGTCCGTTCCAAAAAATAACATATTTTTACATTTGAAAATAATTTAACTTTAAATATTCTATTTTACTCACTTTTTTTTTAATAAAAAATTTTTATAGCCACAAATACTTCATGACCCCATAAAACTTTTGCTACTTAAATTTTTAGGACCGTATATTTTAAATTTTTTTCCTTAAATTTTGTAACAAGTTAAATTATATTATTTAAATTAAAATAAAAGAGTATAAAATATTGACGTTGTTAAATTTTGTCACATTTTGAGTATAAATGAGTTTTAGACTCGAAAACAAATCCCCTCGTGGCCGACTATAGCCGACAGCTTTCCGTTCAAGAGCGCGAAACATTTGCACACATGGTCTTTTGGCGGGAGGTGTTAGAAAAAATAATGTAAGTATTAGTTCTATTCATTATTAATATCTTGTTTGGTATATTTTTTTAACCTGTATATAATTAATACTTATATTAGTTATACAGTATATTGGATATTATACTCTGTATAAATAATGCATTGAAAATCATGATATTAGTAATACCAAGGCTATTAATGCATGCATTAGTATGATTAAAGATAAAATTATTCTTAAAGTCCCTTAAATCTTGAAATATGAAGGGTATTTTTGTAAATAAGTATTTTTCTTAAAAATCATGTAATGCATTATAATTTTAATACACCACACCAAACAGTAGATAAGAAATAATATCTGCATAACTAATATTTGCATTACTAACTCATTCATTACTAATTCATGCATTACTAATACACCTTATTTCGTACTATTCTTATACATCCTACCAAACGACCCTACAATGTTTCCGGTCTACGCACAGTAGTCCTATTTAATTATCAGGTTGCTATTGGGATAAACTTTAGCCACTTCTTATCCGATTAGCATTCAGCAGATTCAGTCAGGAGTACACGTTCAAAATGTTTTCTACCACAATTTGACTCAACATTTCATGCATGTTCAAAAATACCAATGTCAGATGATCAGGGTATACGCATAGAACATAGTTGCTTGCTTGCATGTGCAGGTGAATGTGTTAAATTATATATGTTGATAGTGTAAAAGAATTACACTAGTTTAACATTATATACCTGAACACTTGTTTATTTTTCTGAGAATGTAATTTTATTCATATTATAATTAATTACTTGTAATTGTATGGGTCAAAAAATATTTTTGATATGGGCAAACCACGTCAGTACTATTATGGCCTTCATCGACCGTCACGTGCTATCAGTAAGGTCCCCACAATGATCGGTCTCGGGGCGAAGTGGCCTAGAAGCGATGAAAGATGCTGTCGAAGAATCAACAAAGATCAAGGCCGCAAAGTCACCGTAGTTTGAGGTCGAGGTCGAGCATCTTAAACAGAGATATAACGGTTAGTTCTAATATAAGACATAAACTAGAATATTCTAGTGGATATTCTCTGTATATGTACTATTAGGGTTTCTAGGAACATGTTCCCTATAAATAAAAAGAGACACAATGATAGGGGACATGAGATATCCATTTGTAAAATACACTTTGACTTTATAGAGAGAATCTGGTCTTATTACATGCATACAAAAACAACTTTATTACTAAGATTCTTGTCCACAGTTTTTTTACTGGATCCGAGAATAACTCGAATATTCAAAGACTTATCAATCATTCATCATTGTCAGGAAGAACATCCACTGATTTCATCCTTTCTCGGGTGACTCACCCGTTTTATTAACATAAATTTCATTTATTGCTATTCACCATAATTTAATACTACATTTCTTCTTTTTGGGTCCTTGAATATTGTCATTATTGTGCACCATCATAACCTTCAGACTAGATATACGCGTTATTTATCATAATACCGAGAATTTCGTCTTTAGGATATTATTATTAACCAAGATTAACTCTTATTTACATAAATCTAATTAGTTGAACTACAATTTGTATTTTTGGTCAAATAATTAGGCGCCGTCTGTAGGGATTTCTTAGTTAAATTTTTAGTTTCCTTTATATCTGCAGCTAATGTGAGTCGCTAACCTCACAAACTCCAAGATCTTTCTTTGCACTCACAAAAACCTTCATGGCAGGTAACTAAGGAGAGAGGACAAAAGTAACGGGTGATCTCCCTAGCAATCTCATGAATGTTATCAACGAGAGTTGTGAAATCCTAGGCGAAGACGTGACGCCCACTGCCTCCCTTAGGCGTGAGAGGTCGCCTCCTCCCCATTATAGCATAACAAAACCCAACGGAAAAGGGGCTTCCACGTCCACAGAAGAAGGGACGCCACCAACTGTGAAAAAGCTCCTTTAAGCATGGCTGACCAATACGCCAGTGAGCGTGCTCAACAAGCCCGCTCCAAGAAAGACTACAGAAATCGCAAGAGCTTGGACAATATAATGAGCAGATGAACAGAGCAACCAACCAAACCCTCCGACACCAAGTATTACTCACAATGTTACTAACAGTACAGGTGATAGTGCCCTTGTTGCTGTTCTAAAGAGGATGGAAGAAATGGAGAATAAAAATAAAGCACTCAGAGATCAAATGAAAGAACACCAAGAACGAGTTGATAAGATACCGGGCACTCCTACACTATTGCCAAAGAGGGACACAGGAAGGTTCGTAGAGCAGTCGTACAACGACGAAGCAGCCCTGCATGACATACCAAAAACCTTCAAAATGCCGCTATACCTCAGGATATATAATGAAACGACCAAACCTGAAGATCATGTGACCCATTGCGTTATCGTCGTGAAAGGCACGACCTTACAAAGGAATAAGTGTCCTCTATTTTGCTGAAGAAATTTGGCGAAACCCTCACAGGAGGGGCATTAACATGGTACTCACAGCTACCAGCTTGCTCCATAGAAACTTTTAAGGAAATGCCCGATAAGTTTGTAATGGTACATGTCGGAGCCAAGAAGGCTGAAACATGGGTAAATGATATATTCCCCATCAAGCAGTCCTTGGGAGAAGGACTGAGGGACTTCCTTTCCCGATTCAACATGGTAAGGACGGCTCAACCGAAAGTATCCGAAAGGATGGAGGCCGCGTCCTTTCAGAATGGATTGAGTGGAGATGGTTCGAGAGAAACTAGAAAACTGTTGAGCCAATTGATGAAATATCCTCCAAGCACTTGGGATGAGATCCATAATGCTTATTGTGCTGAAGTCCGGGAAGATAAGGACGACCTTAACAGACCGACTCATCGGCTCGTCTCGGTATAAGTCAAGTCCTGAAAATAACGAAGAGACAACATCGGGAGAGATCACTCGGTCTTACGACCTAACAGAGAACGACACCAGCCATATGTCAAGGCCTACGCCCTACCTTCCCTCCGCTACAAGAAAGGCCCGTCTAAGCCGAGGACAAGGACTCACCGGAATGAGAGAGGTATACCCTCCTTATTATCTGCTACGTATCACCTACAGAAATAGTCTACGCTCTGGAAAAGCTCGGAATGAGGTAAAGTGGCCATCAAAGCTGAGGTCCAACCCGAGCACCAGAAAATCCTAAGCCTTTTTGTGAGTTTCATCAAGAACGAGGGCATAAAACAGAAGATTGCATTGCCCTCAAGCAAGAAGTCATGAACATGTTATGGTAGGGACACCTCAAATAGCTGCTAAGCAACAAGGGGAGAAACAACTTTGCCAGAGGACGTGAATACTAAGTTTCGCCGAAGCCACCATCACTAGCTCGTACTATCAACATGATCATCGGCGACAGCGGTGACGCCTCTATCAACATCGTGAAATTCACCACCACTCACAAGCTCAAGCGATCTATCATCCGCGAACGGTACGACAGACTCGAAGAAAATATCATCTTTGACGAGTCAGATGCCGACAGTTTTACTTTCCCTCATAATGATGCCCTTGTCATTACTTTACGCATTTTAGATACTTATGTCAAACGTATCATGGTAGACGATGAATGTGGAGAGTGCTTTATCCATCCCCGAGTCCTCACCTATATGAGACTCGAGGACACGATAGTGCCATGCTGGATCACGCTAACTGGTTTAAATAATGCAGTTGAGTGGACATCAGGAGAAATTACACTCCCTGTCTTGGCCGCCGGCGTGACGCTGGAGACGACATTTCACATCATGGACCAGGAAACCGCATACAATTCCATAGTGGGACGACAGTGGATACATCCTATGAGAGCCATCCCCTCCAGCCTATACCAACTAATCAAATTCCCAACACCTTGCGGAATATTCAGCATACGCGGAGAACATCGTACATCTCGGGAGTGCTACCGCATTGCCTTAGACAGCATGTCAACCCAACAGAAAAAATCAAAGAAAAAGAGGCATAACAATCAACACGGCCAAGGTCGACACAAGATGAAACCAGGGATGTTAGTATGGATCCCGAAATGGTCGAGGCTCCGGACTTGACCATAGAAGACCTCGACCCCGTTCAATTAGAGCCCAATGACTGTAGAAAAAAGGCCTGCATCGGCTGCAAACTCCGAGAGCCAGGTAAATTCCGTCAATTCTTAATAACTAAAGCAGCTTTGTTTGCCTTCAGCCATGCAGATATTCCAGGAATCCCCAGGGAGAGCGCCACACCCAAATTAAACGTCGACCCGTTCTACCCCTAGTAAGGTAGTTCAGACGTAAATTCAATCCTGCCATCAACGATGCCGTCCGCGAGGAGGTGGAGAAACTATTAGAAAATGGTTTCATCAGAGAATCAAAGTTCCCTAAATAGATCGCCAACATAGTGATGATCAAAAAGAAAAATAGGAAATGGAGGATGTGCGTGGATTTCACGGACTTAAGCAAAGCATGCCCAAAGGACTCGTTCCCGTTACCACACATCGACAAACTCATCGACGCAACGGTCAGACATGAGCTGTTGAGCATATTGGATGCGTACTCAGGTTATAACCAGATACTTATAGAAAAAGAGGACCAAGAGAAAACCACGTTCATAACCTACTAAGCAAGATACTACTATAGGGTCATGCCATTTGGGCTAAGAACATAGGAGCCACATATCAAAGATTGGTCACGAAGATGTTCAAAGACCAGCTCGGGAAGAACATGAAAATATATATAGATGACATGCTGGTCAAGTACGTAAAGGTAGAGGATCGTATCAATCATTTGAAGGAAGATTTCAGCATACTAAGACGGTACGGAATGAAACTAAATCTAGAAAAATGCGGGTTTAACGTAGCCTATGGAAAGTTCTTGGGTTTGTTTGGTGTCACAACGAAGGATCAAGGTCAACCTAGACCAAATCTATCACGACCCAAATTGGAGTGCCATGATGGGCACCCGATGCCTTACTCAACGGAGTACCAACATAATATATTTTTTTTATCATACCATCATGGGTAAGTGGGTCAGAAAGGCCGTCATGAGATAACTAGCATAAAACACAAGGGAATAATCGACATAGGACGACCCAACATGATATACAAACTTATACATATGACATACGGGACTATAAGGCCGACACGATCATTTGTACACTCAATCCATAGGCCGACAAGGCCAGAAAAATCTCCATATACATGACCTCGGTCTACAAGCCTCTAAGAGTACATAAACGTCATAAAGGTTGGGACAGGGCCTGCCATACCAATCATTACAGGTCCAAAGCATTCTGACCAAATAGGTAACTCCGGAGCAAGTGGAGTGTGCCAACACCTTCTGCTGAGCTGATAGCCTACTAGAAAGACTGTCATCCTGTCTATCGGGACCTGCGGGCATAAAACGCAGCATCCCCGGGAAAAAGGAATGTCAGTACGGATAACGTACCGAGTATGTAAGCCATGAAAAGCAGTATATAAAAGACATGAAAGAAACATGGAATTAAGGACTCAACTTGTAAGGTTGAATAGCTTTGTGAATCATAAAACATTTATAATGTCATGCATATGCGTATAAATGTCATATCATGCATATTTATATGCGTACATAACATTATCAAGCCTTTGAGGGCATCCTATTATATCATCTCGGCCTCAGTGGGCGAAATCATCAACGTCTGCCAGCTGATTAGGTGGTGGTACGTATATAACGCCATAACCTTTCCCCATACCCCATATACATATAATATACGTGTATATAACGCCATTTGGTCAAAGGTCAATATACATGTATAAATGAATGCAATGGATAATGAAGTAAGTCAATAAGATCTCTTGGAATGTAATAAGATCAATATGCCTTCGGATAAACTTTATGAACTTACGTATTTTCTGAGACCCATGAACAGAAGATATGATAATAAGACATATGGGGAATCTCAGGAACATAGGAAACCCTAGTACTTCTAAGAATAAAGTAATTTATGAAAGTTGCTCGTTTATTTGTTTCCTTTTTATCATATGGATCATGCCCAAAAGGAAAGAAGGGATAGCCTTAACATACCTTAACTCCATCGAGTCCTTAATACCTTCCAAGTAATTCTTCAAACAACTCAACTCAATCTACCATAGCATAAGGGGATTCAAAATCAATGCTGAACAAAGGCTAAGTTTGCAACTTAAACTAGTAGCTCATTCATGTAAATTTGGGCAGCATCTCCCATGTAACAAAGGCCTCCTCCAATACAATATACCAACAACAACAACTTGAGCAATACAATAAGAACAACATCAACAACAGGGTAAAAAATATTTCATTAACAAGTCATCAACATATCACGATGAGCGGAAAGCTCGGATTGAGTCCCTTTAGCACCCTTCAACCCCATTATCATTCATTCTTGAACTTAATAATATATCTAGTATAATAACCAATACCTTTTAAAGGATTTCCATCCTTGTACTCAATTTCAAAGTTACCTGAAATAGCCTAACACACGATAATATCACTATGAAAAACTTCCAAGTGCTTTATGGCCATTTGTTTTCTAGTTACCAATTTCCTCAACAAGATTGACATGTAAACCAACATAATCATACTAACAATATCATATCCATAATTTACAGCCACTTAAAGTCCATAAGAGCAACTTTCAAATCAATCCATCAAGAATAACAACATCTCAAACTAATCCAAGTATTATATTGTAGTTTATCATCCTAAAAACTTATAAGAACAATTAGAAGGCTGCTATACTCACCTTATCCAGTATCACGAACTTTAAATTTCAGCCAAACACAACCCACATATATCCTCAATGACAACACAACCTCACTATAACTAACGTTTGATATTGAAATATGGTGTAATCACTTCAAACCCTTATGGTATCTGTTTAGGAGGGTTAAGAGGAGTGTAGGACAAGGTTGGGTCAAAAAATGAGAAATAAAGGTCGTCTAAATCATTTATAAAGTTAAGTAGGTTGACCACCGAAAATGTATATATCTCTCTACTCCAATGTCATATCGATGAACGACTTAATGCGTTAGAAACTAGACTCGTAGATCTTCAATTTTATATGTGGATATTTCTGTAATTGCAAGTATATTAGGAGAAAAGCTCGGCTACATTTGACCTAATTTTCAGCACATTATGAATGTAACTTGGGATGACCTTCGCTAACCTTTGTTCCACAACTCGCTTAACTTCAAAACGTAACACACGACTATCATACGACTAAAATAACTCATAACATAACCTCATTTCCATGTTAATAACCCTAGTCTCACCCCAAAGTACGTGTTATAACATTCCAAGCTTAACGACTTTCGGCGAAACTTATTTTTCGTTTAGCTTCTACGCTTTTTAACCCTCTTGGTACTTGTTATTCATGATCTTAAAGATTTGTAACCTCCAAGGTAACATGATTAAATTACTTTATGTACTTTCAAAAATATTCTCATTTTTGAGCTTACATCAATTGTCTTGCGGTGTACTCTTACGTACGAAAACATAGGGTGTAATATCATTCCCCCCCTTTGGAACATTTGTCCTCGAATGTTGACTGATGTGCTTATCTGTCTCATAGCCCATAGCTCTTGAGAATACTTTAATATTGTCCTTGTGCAAGTGTTTTGTGAAAAAATCGATAGGCTAGGACATTTCCCTCTTTTGGCCTCTTTCTCACACCATGACTTGTGGTCAGAATTCTTTCAATCTCGTAACTATTGCTACCTTTTATCATGCAGTCTGTACGACTTTGTCCTTGTATGTGAGCCTATACGACTCTTATCTCCTTTTTCCTCCAGCTTTTAGTCATTCTCTATGTTACAACCCATATTTTCGTACATATGAGTACGTCGTAAGTCAATTGATGTAAGCTCAGAAATGAAATCATATTTGAAAAGTTTACAAAGTAAGTTAATCATATTACCTCGGAGGTTACAAATATTTAAGATCATGAAAAACAAGTACAAAGATGGTTGGAAGGTTTAGAAGCTAAAGGAATTGAAAAACAATAATGTTTCGTCGAAAGTCGACAAATTGGGAATGTTATAACATGTACTTTTGGAGTGAGACCCGGGTGTTTAAATTGATAATGAGGTTATGTTATGAGTTATGTTACTCGTATGATAGTCGTGTGTTATGTTTTGAAGTCAAGCGAGTGGTGGAACAAAAGTCGATGAAAGTCATCACAAGTTACGTTCATAAGTTTTACTGAAACTTTGTGTCAAATGTAACTGCCATTTTCTCCCAATATACGTAGAGTTATGGGGTGTTCCACCCATCAAATTAAATACCTATGAGTCTACTTTCCAACGCATTAAACCATTTGTCAATACGATATTGGAGTAGAGAGATATGGGCGTTTTTCCGAGATTGCGCAGATTGTCACCTACTTGCTTAAACGAGAATCCAAACCTGGGCCTGTTCGGGTCGTCCATAAATGGGCCAATTCGGGTCGTTCAAAGAGGCCTTTTTAAAGTCCTATCCCCTTCATATATTAGGCTGATAATAGGGCAAAATAACCAGATTTAATCTCTGCAAAAATCTTCCCAAAAGTTTCCCACAAACCCCAATTAATTTTCTCTCCCTTTCAAGTTCTAATTGGAGGTAAAGCCTAGAGTTTGAAGAACCAAGATAGGAGCCGAGTTATCCAAAAAATAAGGTAAGTTTACTGCACTCTTTCATCTATTTGTTTCTGCTGTATATGCATAGTAAGTCGTTCTTTATTTGTAAGAACTCACGGGACGGTGATCGGAAGCCGTGAGTTCGAGTTATTCACTTGTAGCGGACTGTTTTGTGGACTGTTTTGTGGTGCTATTGAGCTGCGTGTTTTACTACTATTTTGTGGAGTTTTGGAGTAGGAAGGGTGTGGAGAAACACCACATAAATGCATGATGTTGGTCTGGTCATTCGTCGTAACATTTTCGGGTTGTTGACACTACTACGGTGGTCGTTTTAGGTATGAAGAGATTGGGTTGTGTTGGGCTGTTTTGTAGTATTGTGTGGTGTACATAAGGTTGGAAAATAATATATATACATATATGTTATTATTGTTGTTTTTGGTATTG